AGATTTAACATTACGTTGTTGGGACATTTTCTTATGGAGTATTTTTTCAAGTTCATTTTTTCTATATCCTAGATTTTCCAGTATTGCATGTTTATTCTTTATTTTTTCTTCCGGAAGTTTGAGTTCATTTTCCAATTCTTCTATTTCTTTCTCAATTTTCCCATATTTCTCATTTATTTCTTTTAATTTTCCTTCCAGAATCTTCTCCTGTTCATTTTTTATCTTCTTTAATTTTTCATCCAATTCTTTTTCATCCAATTCTTTATCATGCTTGTATTTGCCTTCGGCAATAACTGTCTCCTCCATCTTCTGTTTAAATTCCTCCTCATTCATCTCTCTCAACTCTTCCATTTCATTTTTAACTTCTTCGATTAATTCAACAATTGCCATAGGTGTATCTGACTCAATTTGTATTTTTGATTTTGTCTCAAATATTTTTACAAAAATATTTTTAACGCTTTTATTACTAAAACAAATTTTTCCAGTTGCGTTTGTTTCATAAACTTTGCCCGTTCTAGTCAATGAACTTTCTGAATTATTTCCTTTCTCTGTCATAACATAACGAATCAAATATCTTATATGTTCATAACGATTGCTAATTTCTTCTGAAAGGAAAAATGATTCTCTAATCAATTGTTCTAAATCATTAAAGTTCAGTAGACTTTTCGGATTCAGTTCTACGGATTTTAGACTTTCTTCTAGACTTTCCTTTAATATATTTTTGTCATTTTTCTTATTGAGGATAACAGCACCATATTTAATTTTTTTAATAAAATCACTAAAAAATAAATCAAAGGGAATTTCAACATTCTTCTCTTTATCAACTTTATCTAAAACAGCCGTTGGCTTTTCATTAGCAGTTTTAATGCCCAAAATTTTTGCGTCACATATCAAAAACGATTTTTCATTTTCTTTCACTTCTTCCTGTACATATTCTGATAAAACGATTAAACGCTCATTTAACGAACTTTTCAAATTTTTGATGTGTAAAATTTTGCCTAGATTAGTCTTTAATTCATTTTTATATACTTTTTCAGATTCAGTGCCCAAAATATAGTTTAATTTTAGAATCCACTTGGTGACAAGGTATATTTTGTCATCTATTCCATAATTAGAATGAGAATAACTGTTAACAACGGTTACATTCATTCCATCTTAAAATTTTTTAAATTAATTTAATTTTAAACCCAATGAAATATGTATGGTCTTTTCAGTTTTCAAAAATGATTATCTTATGTGAATCCTTATTGTAAATTTATTTATAGACAAAAATTTCTGAAACTTATTTCCTAAAAATAGAACACATTCAGCTCTATCTAGAAATATTAAATTTGTAATTTTTAGGTGGGTTTAGTAAATGTGGGTATTCGCTAAGTTAGGAGATGCCTGTAGAGCTAGATATAATTCACCGAAAATTGAAAAACTAATATCAAAAACGATTTTTCACTTGTTATATACGATGTTCATGCTGTTAAAAAATGCGAGATGGAATAGAACCATCATGGAAAGGGCCCAAACCGAGGCACAACCGACTGTACCACCATCCACATCACTTTTAATTTATTAAAAATACCCATAAAAAGCTCAAAGGCAGCGTACAACCCAACTGGACCAGCGTACTCCACAATTACATTTTTATATTCTTTTTTCAATTTTTCTTTATTTTCCGAATGCTTTTTGTAGATTTCCTCAATAATAGCTTTATCCATTTCTTTGCTATGTATTTTTGATAAATTATAAATAAATTTCAACTCATTTAATGCGGTTACATTAAACAAAGAGTAGTTTAAAGAGGATGCTTTTTCCATAAAAGAGTAAATATCAATCAAAGAGCCTTCTGAGCCCTTTGAATGCAAATCCATCATGAAAGTCTTGCAATTTATGATTATATTTATCAATTTCAAGTACTTTTCTTTATTGGATGGAGTAGAAGATTCCTTGAAATTTATAATTATGTCCTTTTTGGTGTATTGAGAATAAATGGAGGCTATTAAATTAGAATACTGTTGTATCCTTGTACAACAATAAAGAAGCAATACAATAATGTGTTTATCACACAATAGAATTACAATAAAAGTTGAAGTAATAGAATAAGGTTGTGGTATTTAGAATAAACAAATAGGAGACAATTAGAAGACACGGACTGACAATTATTTGAGGCTTTTATATGTAGTATAATAATAGAGTGTAAATACTAGCCGCCACCCCACAACAAATTCGGTATTTATCACGGATTGGACGGGTCTCCCCAAATTTATTAGGACATTTATGGATTACTAAAAAATTTCCGACCTCTGACCAGTTCTAATCATTACCTTTTTTTCTATCATTTCGTCATATTTTTTTAATTCCTTTGCAATATCTTCAACACTATCAAGGGATATGTTAATATTTTTTAAATTTAGGTTAGTAAATTCGGCAACTTTATTTACAAGTCTTTCAAAAGCTTTATTAAATGTTGTAAAAATATTTTTATACTCCGCCTTTCCTTCAAGCTCTTTATATTCCTCAAATTCAATTGGATCATACGAGTATAAACCACCTCGAGGCATTCCAGTTGAATTATCTATCTCAGCAATTTGCTGTAAACATTTAATGCGACTTTCTTTTAACACTCCTATAAAAATAAATAAAGATATTTCTAAAAATAACAAGTGACTCCAATTATATCGATATTAAGGTTGCTTTCAGAAAAGTATATCCGTGTCCACAACCGGTTTCAAATATTAATACCTTCATTTAAGTTGTCCATAGCATCGCCAACATCAAAACTCAAAACGAGAATTAAAGCAAAAATTGACAATAATTTTGCTTTGTCTCTCATTTTTTTGTTAAAAAACAAATTTCCTTCAATAGAAGGGTTTTATGTTTAATTTAAATAAAGATATTTTGAATTTGAAAAATTTTTTTGAATAAACTGATTATGCTAGGGGGTAAATAATTGTTTATATATGGACAAAATCGTCGGGTATACATGATTGATTGAATGCCAATAATTTTTTTAAAATTTATAAAAATTAGAGAAAATGAAATTAAAATAGCATTAAAAGGCACAAAAATGCACAAACATTAAATTGAAAATATTAATTTTATGTCGTAAAATGCATTTAGAAAAATCAAGGGAGTGCGCGTACACAAAAAGCATAAACATTAAATTGATTTTTAAAAATTCATATGATTAAATTTACGTAATTTTACCTAAAAAAATTTTTTTTTAATTATGTATAAAGCGGAAAAGAAGAGTCCGAATCCTCAATTTCCCGTTAATCTTGTTTGTTATTTGTTTTGTTTAGATTTAAAACTAGGGTAAAGCGGCGGGGCTATAGATCTATTTATTTCCTTCAGCTAGTGCAAAAGGTTAATCGTGGCTGGGAGCGAACCAGCATCTTTTCAGTATACCGAAATGATGTGTTATCCATTACATGTCGCTTACTGCACAGCCTTAGAAATTAAATAGCTACCGTATTTTGTGGATTAATTCCCCTCTCTCGATTAATCCCCCATGCTAGGTAAGGATTGAATAAAAAGTCCCCAGGGGATTTAATCGGAAAAATAGCTATATGCTTTACACCTCCATCCCCAGGAAAAATTGAATTTTTACTTATGGATGGAATTTAAACTTTTAATAAAACCAATGAGTAGCTCCCAGCCACTGATAAACCTTTTGCACTAGCTGAAGGAGAGAAGTAGCTATGTATAGCCCAGCTGCTTTACTCTAGTTTTAAATCTAAACAAAACAAATAACAAACAAGATTAACGGGAAATTGAGGTTCAGACTCTTCTTTACCGCTTTATACATAATAAAAAAATTCTTTTTAAATAAAATTACGTAAATTTAATCATATGAATTTTTTAAATCAATTTAATGTATTTAATGTTTGTAATTTTTTGTGTACGCGCACTCCCTTGATTTTTCTTAATAGATTTTAACACGTAAAATTAATATATTTAATGCTATTTTAATTTCTTTTTTTCTCTAATTGTTATAAAATTTTGAAATAAAAACAAAGAAAATACAAATAAAAACACGTTTAACACTAAACACGTCTGTTAGAAATCTTTTTTGGATAAGATTTAACTTTTGGTGAATTGTGCCTATATTGTGAACTGTTGTTTTTGTGTCTAGTGCCAAATTTAATAAATATAAAATTAACTCTTATAAAACTAAAAACATTGCCAATGAATTAAACAAATTTTGGGTTGCCTCGCATGCTTCTGGTAAACGAATTGTTTAAAAAGTAAAAGGAGTCTTTTCCGGAACGTCTCGGTTAGTCCTGGCGGCTGAGTCCCGCTGTCATATTTTGGGCCATAACTTTTTTAATTCCTAAAAAATATGATAATTAATAACTATCTCATCGAAAGCTATTGATATAAGGATTGATTTGGATTGAATGATCTGATTGATTGATAGAATCAGGTCAACATATAATGAGACTTTTGAAGTCAGATAATTTTTTTGTTCTTGGTACCATTGGAACTATCTAACAACAACAAAGATTTTTAAATTTAAAACTAAAATTTTATACAAATCTAAAAATATGAATTTTAAAAAATGTTGAATAAAATGAAAAATTGTTCTTGAATAGGGTTGTTGGTAGGGTAGCCTCAAAGCTCACAAAAATACAAAGGTTTGACCATTTCGAAGAGCTCTATCAATAATACTTTGAAAGTCGCCCCTTTTTTCCTTTCTATTCCATATATGTAATTTTTCCATATAATAAATTACCGTGTGGATTCTCTAATAGAATGTCCTTTTTTAGCGAAAAAATAGAATGGCTACTTCTATTTGAATTGTAAAAAGATGGCCGACTTCTAAAGTATTACCCTGATATCTTCAAGGCTATTTGGATTGATATTTACAGGGGGCATTAGAAGGTCAAGTTTTTAAATCAATAATGCTGGTGGAATGAATGGGGGGATGTTTTAGTTCGTTAAAAAATTGGATAAAATAAAGCATCTAGGCTATAGCTATTCCTCTTCTTCAGCTAGTGAAAAAGGTTAATCGGCGTCTGGGAACGAACCAACGCCTTCAATAGACCGGACTGATATGTTATCCATTACACCACTCCGCTTACTGCACAGCCTTTGGAATTAAATAGCTATATGTTTTACAATAAAAAATAATTGTTTAGTTTGGATAAATATACAATGGGATTTACTTTTCTTTTTTTCATTTTTTACATTCCTTTCCTTTTTACACTTTCCTTTTTGCATTCTTCGAATCAGTTTTTAATCTGTCTTTTTCAACTCGTCCATTAACATTTTTGTCAGATCACTTTCTACTTTGCTTTTGTTGTATTTTTTGATAACAGAAACTGCTTTGTCAACATCGTCCAAGCCTTTAAAATATTTAAACAAAATATTAACATAAATTATCTCCATTTATCAAACAATATTTATTAAGTTCAGAAAATAGTATCGAACAGGGCTTCAAAGATAGTACCACTTAATGTAAAAAATGTGTAGTAGAATACAAAATAAGGCCAATTAAGGCTATTAATATTGAGTAGAAAGGAACAAAGAACGAAGTCTGAAACTTCTTTCCTTATCGAGATCTCAAATATCAAAAAATCAACAGGAAATTGGGTTACAGTACTTCAAAAAATATTTTAGCTCCCCAGAGCTTATATAGAATTTTTCTTTTAAGCTATTTTGAAACCTTTTGAAATTTGCTACAAAATACCTCTTGGCCTCATAGGTGTAAAAAATTCTGTTTATGAGATAATATATAACGTGCCTTTTTAGCTGGTACGGAATCATACCTCACTCATAACTTGGGATAACTTTATAAAACCAGAATAAGAATTATTTCAATTCTAAAGTCATTAATTCTACAATAAACTTGCCTTCATGGATTTCAATAGTCTCTTCATCGTTTAAGTTCACAAAAATTGCAGAATCTTTTTTTCCTTTAAACAATTTTACAGTTTGCGTTTTTTTAGATTGTCTCTTGCGCTCACCCCTGGTCCCGAACCCTATAAATTCTGAAATGTGGGATATTTACTTTCGTTCTTAGTACCATTGGAACTATCCAACAACAACAAAGATTTTAAATTTAAAACTAAAATTTTATACAAATCTAAGAATATGAATTTTAAAAAATGTTGAATAAAAAAATTGTTTTTGAATAGGGTTGTTGGTAGGGTAGCCTCAAGTCTCACAAAAATACAAAGGCTTTATCAGTTCGAAGAGCTCTATCAGTAATACTATGGAAGTCGCCCCCTTTTTTCTTTCTATTGTTTTCCCAGTTTTTCTCATTTTATGGCAAATTATTCGAGCTGAGCCGAATTATTCGAGCTGAATCGAATGATACTAAAATAAACAAAGCTCAAAATGGTCAGTGGAACGCGGAAAAAAGTGAACCGACTTCAAAAGTGTTAACCTGATATGTATCTTAATGAACATATGGTATAATATTTACAGGGGGCATTAAAAGGTCAAATGGTTATGTTTTAGAATGGTTGTTTAAAAAATGAATAAAGTAAAGCAGCTGGGCTATAGCTATTTTTCTATTTCAGCTAGTGCAGAAGGTTGATCGTGGCTGGGAGCGAACCAACATCTTCAGTAGACCGGACTGATGTGTTATCCATTACACGTTGCCTACTGCACAGCCTTAGGAATTAAATAGCTATATGCTTTACAATGAAAAATAATCGTTTAGTTTTGGGTAAATACAATGGGATTTTCCTTCCGTTTTTCCTTTTTCTTTACTTTTTACACTTTTCTTTGCTTTTTGCATTCTTCCAATCAGTTTTTAATCTGTCTTTTTCAACTCTTCCATTAACATTTTTGTTAAATCATTTTGTTCGTTGCTTTTGTTGAATTTTTTGATAACAGAGACTGCTTTCTCAACATCATTCAAGCCTTTAAATTTTTTAAATAAAAATATTAACATAACTCATCTCAAGTTATCAACCAAGAATATTTATTAAGTTCAGAAAATAGTTACGGACAGGACTTCAAGGATAGTACTCATTTAATGTACAAAATTTGAGTATAAGGCCGAATAAGGCCAATTAAGGCCATTAATATTGAGTAAAAAGGAACAAAGAACGAAGTCTGAAACTTCTTTCATCCTCGAAATCTAAAATCTCACAAATCAACAGGAAATGGGGCTACAGTACTTCAAAAAATGTTTTAGCTTCCCAGACTTATATAGAATTTATCTTTTAAGCTTATTTGAAAGCCCTTGAAATTTGCTACAAAATGCCTCTTGGCATCATAGTTGTAAAAATTTTGTTTAGGAGTCATTAATTCTAAAGTCATTAGTTCTACAAACTTGCCTTCATGTAATACAGGAGTATCGTTTACATTCACAAAAATTGCCGAATCTTTTTTCTCTTCAAACAATTTTACTGCATTTTCTTTTCCATAAATCTTAAACAAAAATGTTTTCCCAATTAAACTGTTTTTGTCAAAATAAATAATGTGTTCGTCTTTATCATGAATTGTCTCAACTTTATTGCTAGTACTTGCTTCTCCTTTTTCTTCTTTCTCTTCCTTTTCTTTTTCCTTTTCCTTACTTAATTTAATTATCACTTTCTTTTCTTCATTTTTGTATATAATGCGCTTATCAAGCAAATGATAAAAAAGTGCTTTAAACCATTCTTCTTTCAATTCAACAATAAAATCATCATATTTTTCCAACATCTTTTTATGTTCATCTTTCATGTTTAAAAGCCCTTCCTCAACCATTTTACTATGTTCAATTTTTATCTTTCCCTTCTTTTCTTCCCAGATTTTATTTTGTTCATTTCTCATCTCTTCTAATTTTTCTTTCAATTCTTTTTCGTTTTCTCTTTCAATTTTATTTATTTTTTCCTTTATTTCATCTCTTTTTACTTTTTCCTGTAACACCTCCAAACTTTTAATTTTGTTTTCCAAATCTTCCAATTCTTTTATTTCTTTCTCTATTTTCTCAATTTTCTCTATTTTCTTATGTTTCTTAGATAATTTAAAAATTTCTTTTATTAGATTCACATAATGTTGTATTATATTTTTTATTTTTGAATTCCCGTTTTTGTAGTTTAACTTTTGTAATTCTATCAATTTTTTACCCATTTCATCTTGTAATTTTTTCAATTTAGCTTTAATGTCAGATTTATCATTAAGGTTTTGGAATATTTTCATATGGAGTATTTTTCCAAGTTCTTCATTGTTTCTATAGCTTTGTATTTCTTTCTCAATTTTCTCATATTTCTCATTTATTTCTTTTAATTTTCCCTCCAAAATTTTCTTTTGTTCATTTTTTATCTCTTCCAATTTTTTATCCAATTTTTTATCATTTTTGTGATTTTCTTCATCGATAATATATAACTCTTCCCTTTCATTTTTAACTTCTTCAATTAATTCAACAATTGCCACAGGTGTATCTAATTCAATTTTTATTGTTGTCTTTGTCTCAAATATTTTGACAGAAATATTTTCAACCGTTCCAGTATTATAACTAATATTTCCTCGCGGAGATATTTTATAAACTTTCCCTATTCTAGTTTTTGAACTTTCTAAATTATTTTTTTCCTCTGTCATAACAAAACGAATCAAACGACTTATAAGATAATAACGATTTCTAATTTTTTCCGAAAGGAAAGATGATTTTCTAATCAATTGTTCTAAGTCATTTAAATTCAGTAGACTTTCCGGATTCAGTTCTACGGATTTTAGACTTTCTTCTAGACTTTCCTTTAATATATTTTTGTCATTTTTCTTATTGAGGATAACAGCACCATATTTAATTTTTTTAATAAAATCACTAAAAAATAAATCAAAGGGAATTTCAACATTCTTCTCTTTATCAACTTTATCTAAAACAGCCGTTGGCTTTTCATTAGCAGTTTTAATGTCCAAAATTTTTGCGTCACATATCAAAAACGATTTTTCATTTTCTTTCTCTTCTTCCTGTACATATTCTGACAAAACGATTAAACGCTCATTTAAGGTACAAAATTGGAGTATAAGGCCGAATAAGGCCAATTAAGGCTATTAATATTGAGTAAAAAGGAACAAAGAACGAAGTCTTAAACTTCTTTCATCCTCGAAATCTAAAATACCACAAATCAACAGGAAATGGGGTTACAGTATTTCAAAAAATGTTTTAGCTTCCCAGACTTATATAGAATTTATCTTTTAAGCTTATTTGAAAGCCCTTGAAATTTGCTACAAAATGCCTCTTGGCATCATAGTTGTAAAAATTTTGTTTAGGAGTCATTAATTCTAAAGTCATTAGTTCTACAAACTTGCCTTCATGTAATACAGGAGTATCGTTTACATTCACAAAAATTGCCGAATCTTTTTTCTCTTCAAACAATTTTACTGCATTTTCTTTTCCATAAATCTTAAACAAAAATGTTTTCCCAATTAAACTGTTTTTGTCAAAATAAATAATGTGTTCGTCTTTATCATGAATTGTCTCAACTTTATTGCTAGTACTTGCTTCTCCTTTTTCTTCTTTCTCTTCCTTTTCTTTTTCCTTTTCCTTACTTAATTTAATTATCACTTTCTTTTCTTCATTTTTGTATATAATGCGCTTATCAAGCAAATGATAAAAAAGTGCTTTAAACCATTCTTCTTTCAATTCAACAATAAAATCATCATATTTTTCCAACATCTTTTTATGTTCATCTTTCATGTTTAAAAGCCCTTCCTCAACCATTTTACTATGTTCAATTTTTATCTTTCCCTTCTTTTCTTCCCAGATTTTATTTTGTTCATTTCTCATCTCTTCTAATTTTTCTTTCAATTCTTTTTCGTTTTCTCTTTCAATTTTATTTATTTTTTCCTTTATTTCATCTCTTTTTACTTTTTCCTGTAACACCTCCAAACTTTTAATTTTGTTTTCCAAATCTTCCAATTCTTTTATTTCTTTCTCTATTTTCTCAATTTTCTCTATTTTCTTATGTTTCTTAGATAATTTAAAAATTTCTTTTATTAGATTCACATAATGTTGTATTATATTTTTTATTTTTGAATTCCCGTTTTTGTAGTTTAACTTTTGTAATTCTATCAATTTTTTACCCATTTCATCTTGTAATTTTTTCAATTTAGCTTTAATGTCAGATTTATCATTAAGGTT